AAGGCAAGTTCTTCTTCTATCTCATCTCCTTAGATCAAGTGTTCTATACATGCTTAGGACACTCTAGGATGATTAATTAGAATTAATAAACAACTTTGCATGCTAATTGGATTAAAAATTGTATGTATGCTTCAGTTTATGAAATTTGTTGGGTTTTGAATCTTGATGCATGATTTCTTGATTTAAATGGTCTAATGTATACATAAAGGCTTTAATTAATGTTTGGGATCTTTTGGGACTTAGAATAGAAGCAATAGGACCCTTAACGGAGGAGAAAATAGTCGCCGGAGCCGGAGAAGACGAAGTGTCACAGGGACACAACGACCGATTTGGAGAACCTATCGACTGATTTATGCAAATCTGTCGATGACTGCAGGTTACACGTCGACCAGTTCATGGGTAAACCAGTCGATGTCTCCATGGTTCATGTCAACTGGTTTGGGGCATTTTGTACTGGTTTGGTCCAGTGTAGGGTTGTGCATGGGGTCTCGTGCCAGGGTGTGTTCGGGTTTATTTTTAATGTTTCTAAATAACTGTAATTGACCCGATAATAGATTTGAATGAATTGTATATATTATTATGCTAAGTGAGGACTTCAATTAATTTAAAAGGTTAATTAATGGTTGATTATGTTGGATTAAATTATTTTAAACAATTATTTGGATTTAAATGATTTTAATCAGACTATGGAGGTTTATGTAATTTATTTGAGATGCATGTAAATTACTTGTAATGTAAGACAAATGCATGCAACTTAGAATTGGTATTATTGCTTAATTATATGCAAGGAATGTCTGTATGATTTATATCATGTTATAACTGGATTATTTGATGTGTAATTATATATGTGTGCATCAATTGTTGGATATAGATGAATGCACCATTGTCAGGATATGGGGGCATATTATGGATGGATTAACTATTAATTTAAGTCCTATCTATTCATGTTAGGCCACGGAACTAGTATGATGAAATGTCATTGAAAGAATATGGCGGATGTTTACTTTTCTGTTTTGGATAGGATGAATTTATATATGTATAGATATGTGACATGATATGAGCTTGAGTCTTAGGATCAGTAGTTAGGGAGCATATATTGACTGGGATGTAAAGCTGGATATAGTGGATAGATGTGTGCCCTGGTAGGTCTAGGTACTCATGCCCACTGTATGTGTGTTTTTTGCATGTTGCCTACTATTTAGGTTGAGACCGCCTTATAGTCCAGTGAGAGTTCTTTAGTGTGTATCTATATATATACGGATTACTTAGTTATTATTGAGTTGACTAGGATGTATACGTATATCGGGTCTTTATTTAGGTTGTAATAGAGTAGAACTTATTCATGGGTCTAACTCACTATTATTTTTCAGGTGTTCGTCAATTCCAAACTTAGAGATTGTTCGTGCTGAGCAGAGACAGTCTTCATCACTCTTCTATGTAGAATTTCCTTTATTTTCCGTCTTTGGATTTCTTTACTTCAGTTATTAGTATTGGGATTTTGTTATAGGTCCACAGGATAGATTCCCGAGTTGAAATCTAGATAGTTACTTGTATCAGAAGATTCGGATTATTATTGCAGATTAATTCTATTGGATTGTTTATTGGAGGATTTTATTATTATTTAGTTTCTTTTCAGCTTATTTATTTATTCTTATTTCCTTTTGTATTCTATGCTTGTTTATTACCTTAATTGTTTGATATTTCCCTCGGTTTTGTGCGTGGACTTGATCGACCCATGTTCCGGAATCGAGGGGTATCACATCCCTGGTATGAGTGGAAGATTATTGATTATACACCAATTCCAAGATATTCTTTAGTACCCGTGATTGAATTAGTCTCTTGGCCTTAAAGATTCAATTGTTCATGAGGATGCCAAAAACGGCACGGGCCGGGTACTGCCCATGCAGCTAGAAACAGGCCGGGTAAGTGATCTTGGACAAAACCAAGTTCTCGCAGGTCAGGCCCAAGATTGAAGAATCGAGCTGAAAGCCTGTTGGAAGTAATCAAGCACATGACTAGAGAAGCCCAATGGATGAGCCCAATGCAATGAGTTAGTTAGAAAATGTCCAGAAGGTCTGTAACAGTCTATAAATAGGCTGAAATCATAGGGAAAAGGGGTTGTAAAATCTTGAAGTGTAAGGATATTCTGTCCAAATAGAAAAAGAAATTTCTTGCATCTTCAACTGGCGCCGTTTGTGGGAAACGATGAAGATTGAAGACTAGTTCGTGAACAAAAAGCTTGATCTCTGAAAATTGAATCCAGATCGGTGCGATCGGAATTTTTCTTACAGAGTTTCGATTCTGAATAGTGGTGAGAGATACGCGTTGGATCTACGCAATTGTGATTTGTTTAGTGAGGCTAGATCTAACAAGTTCACAGTAGGAGAAATTTAGATCCGGCTAAATGAGATCAAAATTCAGCTAGTTCGAGATCAGATACGTTCGCATCAGCGAAGCTCAGATCCGATCCGGAACTTATAGTTAATAACTTTGCTCCGATCAGGAATGATGATAAGAGGTGAGAATTCAAATCCATTGTAGAATGGCCAGCAGTCAAAGCTTGATGAACTGATGAGCATGATTGAGATCTTGAGGAAAGAGAATGCAGAATTATGAGCTGGAATAGAGCGTCGCGAAGCTCCGGTCAATCCACGACCACCTCCAGTAAGGGGGAAAGTTTTACAGTCTAATGTTGCTCATCAAAATGATCAGGAAGGAAATAATCACATGAATCTTCATCATGAGGAGATCGTGCCAAGCGATTTACCTCCAAATGTCTGTCAAATGGAAGATTGAGAGGGATCTATCCACTTGGATCCACATCGCGAGCGGGTCATGCGAGAGGAAGCTGCAACATTTGATCCAAATCCAGGAAGATTAAGGCGTGAGGAAGCCATGGAGTTTGGTCATCATAGAGCTACGTCACCGTGGCTGAGGGAGTTCACGGAGGAAAGATCGTTTGTTCCACTCTACCGGTCTTCAATGGCTACGTATGATTACAGGAGTTCAGAGAGGAGATCTAAAGATCAGAGGATTCCCTCACGGTTTTTAAGGGAAAATAAGGCCCTCCATTCGTCAGCACGAACGGTTGCCTCTCCATTCACTGACAAGATCTTGAACGCTCCAAATCCGAGAAAATTTTCCATACTGGTATTCATTCTGTTTGATGGAACGACTGATCTGAGCGATCACATTTACTACATTCAGTTAAAAATGGCTTTGAATACGGAGAATAATTGATAAGCGCCGAATATTGCATATTCAAGCACCCTTAGTTGCACTAGTTAAGTCCATTATTTGATTATTCTATATAGATTATCTTCATTTGCATGTTTTTATATATTTTCAGGTTCATTGGCCAAAAAGGAACAAAAATGATGTTTTGTTCAATCTTTGAATAACAATGTGCTCAAGGCTAAAGTTCTGGCAGCAATGGAGTCTGACTTTGCTCGCCATTTTTGACCTATCAAACTCCAGAACTGGACTTCCATTAAAACATGACCTATTTAGAGCTTTGAATTAGCTTTCCAAATCTTCAAACAGTTCATCATTTGGAGCTCGGAGCAGAAAGTTATGGCTGTTTTACCAAAGTAGTGCAAAGTAGGTCAAGAGAAAGGAGCATTCTACCCAAACTTTGAGCGCTCGAAGTGCTACCTTAGAGCGCTCGAACTTTGAGTAGAATGCTCTCCGGGATCCATCACTTCAGCCCACTTGCTGCTTGATTCCCTCATTTTTGATTTCCATCTTTATGGGTTGGTTGGAGATGTCTTTTGGTGGGAGTTGAGCCTTATTTGGTAGGGGTTTGGGAGGATAATGTTTACAAAGGAGGGGGAACCACACATAAAATAGATCATATCTCATCTTGCAAGATTTTTTGGAGAGAGAAAGGAGGAGGAAAAGATAGAGTTCTTGAAGCTACAACAAAGGAGCTCGAAAATGGGGATGGAGACCAAGCTTCTTCCTTCTTCTAAGGCTCCCATGGGTAACTAAACCTCCATCTAGGGAGGTGATGAGGCCCCTCCCTTGTAAGCATGTTCTAATTTAGGCTCTATTTTGGAGATTACAATGTATTTTCTGTGGTCTTTTCATAACCAAGAGCACTTCATTTGTTGTAATGAATGTTGATATATGTATGGATGATTTCTGTAAGTTGATTATCTTGCTTTAGATGATGTCTTATATTAATCATATTGCTTGAGTTTTCATGGTGAGAATGGAGACAAGGTTATGAAATGGTTTAATGGCATGTTAATAAGTACTTTGATAGATCATTGCTTAGGGTTCCCCTTTGATGGTCTATGCTTAATTCTTAGCTTCATGTGCATTCATCATTTAATTTAGGGCTTGATAATCCTTGACTTAGTAAGCATGTTCTAAGCTACATTTTGGTTTAGGTAGTTGATCATGTGAATCTTTAATGGTTTATTCTTGCTTTTTTATTTAATGAACTTCTTGAGGATATTATAGCAACCAAGTGTTGCTATGTATCATGACCATAATATATGTTGTTTTTCCCCTAAATTAATCCTAACCTAGCATGTGTATAGGGATGGAGCCGGATTCACTTCCCTAGTCCTCATTACTTGTATTTCATCTCCTTTAAACTCTTGCAAACTTTTATTTTATGCATCTTAATTTCATAGCTTAAGTGACAACCAACAAATCCTCTATGAACACCCCTATCATTCTAAAAAGACTCCTGACACTTAGGTTGTCATAGATTAGCGCAGTCCCAGTGGTTCGACTTACCCGACCAATAGCCCTATTTTACAATGATTCGTATTATTGCGAAGGTTGATTTATTATAGATCGAATTCTCAACCGATCAATAATCCTTTGATGTGCAACTATTTCCCTACAAGTTTGGCCAGGCCAGCGCTTAATTAGTTCAAAATTTAGCCCAAGGCTCGATCGCTAGCTTCCAAGATTTGTGCGACAAGTTCATAAGCCAGTATTATGGGAATAAGCGCCTGGCCAAGGATGTTTCAAGCCTTTTTACAATGAAGAAACATGAAGATAAGAGGCTCCAAGCTTTCCTCACCAGGTTCAACCTTGTCAAAAGCATAGTAATGGAATGTCATCCCTCCATGGCGGTTCAAGCATTCAAACTGGCCACGAACCGAGGGACGCCGTTCCACACAAGCCTGGTGGTGAATATGCCAAAGGCCATGGATGAACTGAATGAAAGAGCTGACGAATTCGTGCGTCTGGAAGAAGAGGAGGCAGCTAATGCAAGAAAGACATCGATTATATCAACAGAGGAGAAGTCTAAAGCCAAGATCTGGCATAAACAAGCTTTTTCGCAGCGTCAAACCTCTTGGAAGGTAGAGAAGAGGCCGAGGGAAGAAGAACTGGTTACTCCACTCAAGTTCACCTTAGCTAGGCTGTTCCAAGAAAATAAAGATAAGTTTCATTCTCCCCTACCAATTAGACAACCTCTTGAGCAGAGGGATCAGTCCAAACACTGTGTTTTTCATAGTGATTTCGGTCACCTAACTAATGAATGCAGGAACCTAAGGAGGCAAGTGGAGATGCTGATATCCAGGGGGGAGTTTGCAAGATATGTCCAAGGGCCACCAATAGAGCAGAATCGACCAGCTGAATAGGTTAAAAGAACTCAAAAGTCGAGCCACTATAGCACCCAACCCGTTCGGATTATAAACGCAATTCATAGCTGACTTGAATAATCTGAATAGTCAGAAGAGTTACTCCGAACGCGTCTCCTTCAAGCACAGATGAAGAGGAGAATAGGCAGTGTAAACACTCTGCACCGACAGAATGCCTCAACACAGATAAAGTTTGACAGAACAGACTTGTTGTGAGTTTAGATTCCTCATGAAGATCCTTTGGTCGTTAGTTTGATGGTGGCAGATTGCTTAGTGCGAAGGGTGCTGATTAACCCAGGGAGCAGTGCGAACGTCATACCAAGGGTCACGTTTGATCAGCTCGAGATCAAGCCTGAGGACCTTAAACCTATTAGATATCCATTGTTGGGATTTGATGGAATACGAGTAGAACCAATCGCGAGTAGAACCAATCGGCACGGTAGAATTGCTTGTCCGAGCTATTAAGAGGGAACTAGTTGAAAGTTTTATGGTAGTTGAGATCCATTCGTCTTACAATCTATTGATGGGGAGAGGATGGATACATAGGGTCCAGGGAGTCCCATCGACCCTGCACTAGGTAATGAGATGTCTGAGCCCAGATAGGAATAAGGTGATTGATATCCATGGGGACCAGGTTACAGCCAAGGAGTGTTACTCGGTAACTCTAAAAGCTGCTAGGAAGGGAAAGCTCATGTCCATACTGCTAGCCCGAGATAGCAATTACAGAAACATCCCCCCAGCACAAGCGGGGAGGAGGAGCCCCCGGCATTGACCGAAGAACCTCTAGTTGAAATACAAATTGATCATTTGAGGGCAGACCGAACCACAAGAGTAGGCTCAGGGCTCACAGAGGAAGAAAAACGCCAATTAGTTGATTTCCTTTCTTAGAACGCGGATGTGTTTGCTTGAAGCCATTCGGACATGCCAGGGATAGACCCCCTGTGTCTTATCATTCCCTTAACGTGGATCTGAACGTCAAACCTGTGTGACATAAGCAGAGGAGGTTCGCCCCAGAGCGCAACCAGATCATTGCCGATGAGATTGATAGGTTATTAAAGGTTGGGTTCATTAGAGAGGTTCAATATCCGTCCTGGCTATCGAACATGGTTATAGTGCAAAAGAAGAATGGGAAATAGAGAGTTTGCATTGATTTCACCAACCTGAATAAAGCCTGCCCGAATGATAGCTTTTCACTTCCAAAGATTGATTAGATGGTGGATACTACAACTGGGTACAAACGGCTAACCTTTCTAGATGCCTATTCAGGATACAATCAAATCCCTATGGATCCGAACGATGAAGAAAAGACCTCTTTTGTTACTAAACGAGGGATATACTGTTACAAGGTCATGCCGTTCGGACTGAAGAATGCCGGAGCCACGTACCAAAGGCTGATCAGTAAGATTTTTAAGAATCAAATGGGTAAGACCATAAAAGCTTATATCGATGATATGGTGGTAAAGAGCAGAAAGAAGGACCATTATTTGCAACAATTACAAGAGGTGTTCGGAGTACTGAGGAGGTACGGTATGAAGTTGAACCCGATCAAGTGCTCGTCCGGTATAGGTTTCGGGCAATTCCTTGGCCACGTGGTTAATAACAGAGGGATTGAAGTTAGCCCAGCCCAAGCGAAGGCTCTACTGAAAAATGCAGAACCAAGTATAGTCAGGGAAGTGCAAGCTCTCACTGGACGCATAGCGGCACTAAGTCGATTCATTTTGAAGTTGTCATATCGATACAAACCATTCTTCAATACAATAAGGAGTTAGGGAAAACAATCTTAGGAGGATGAGCAAAGGCAAGCATTGACCGGTTGAAAGAATATATGCAAAACCCACCAGTCTTAACTGCCCTAGAACCAGAAGAAAAGCTTTTTTTGTACCTTGGAGTCTCCAATGTTGCAACAAGTGCCACTCTGATACGATGTGAAGAGGGTAAGCAGTTTCCTGTGTTCTATGTTAGCAAAATAATGTCCGAGCCGGAAAAAAGGTACTCAAAGGCCGAACGAGTGATCTTATCTTTGGTAAATGCAAAGAGAAAACTCAGGCACTACTTCGAATCCAATCTTATAGTCGTTCGACCACTTTTCCCATAAAGGTGATTCTGCATAAGCCAGATTTGTTTGGGAGAATGACAAAGTGGGCAATAGAGCTGAGCTCTTTTGACATAACGTATGAACCCCGAACGGCCATCAAAGGACAAGCGGTAACTGAGTTCCTATTGGAGTGTGATATGGAGGAGCCAGAGGAAAATCTTGGAGAATCTTCATGGAAGCTTTTCGTTGATGGTTCTTTAAATTAGATGGGGGCAGGAATTGGGATTAAGTTGCAAACGCCAGAAGGCACCACATTGAGTCAGGCGATCAGGCTTAAGTTCAAGGCAACTAATAATAAAGCAGAATATGAGGCATTGCTGGCTGGATTGAGGCTGGCCAATGAACTAAAGGTCAAAAGTTTAGTTGCTTTTAGCGACTCGTAGCTGATTGTTTGGCAGGTGACTGGGGAGTATGGAGCCAAGGATGAAACAATAGAGGCGTACCGTTCTGCCGTTATATGTAAGGCTAAGAGTTTTGATCAAATCAAGTTCATCCAATTACCGAGGGAGCGTAATGAAGACGCCAATCGGTTAGCATGCAGTGCGTCGACAACTGGAGAAACACTGGCAAGGGTGATTTCAGTTGGTATGTTATGCCAGCTATCTATCTTTGAAGAACCATCAAGCTCGGATCCTTGGCAAGTGAATGTCATACCATATGAGCCGAGCTGGATAAATCCAATTATGACTTATATACGAGATGGTGTTCTGCCCGAGCAAAGAGATGAAGCAAGGAAGATCAGATCGAATGCTGCAAAGTATGCCATAGTCCACAACCAGTTGTATAGGAGGTCTTACTTATGGCCTACTTGATGTGTGTTACCCCCACAGAAGCTAGGCAGATATTGCGAACTATCCATGAAGGTGTGTGTGGTAATCATTCAGGGGGAAGGTCTCTAGCGCACAAAGCAATGACGCAGGGATATTTTTGGCCAAATATGTCGCGAGATGCGGAGAAATTCTCTAGAAGATGCGATAAGTACCAAAGGTTCGGACCATTGATTCACCAACCACCTAAAGACTTGCATATAATGGCTAAACCATGGCCTTTCGCACAATGGGGGATGAATGTGGTTGGCCCGCTACCGACCACCAGATCGCAGAATAAGTATGTTCTGCTTGCAACAGATTACTTTATCAAATGGGTGGAGGCAAAACCATATCCCAGCGTGACTCAGACTCAAGTGAGATGCTTCATTTGGGGTAATATCATTTGTCAATTTGGTGTTCCAAGGTTAATTGTTATGGACAATGGGACTAATCTTGACAGCAAGTAAGTGTGGGAATTGTTGGAAGAATATGGAATTAATCAAAAGTTAGCAACAGTCAGCCACCCGTAGGCAAATAGTCAAGCTGAGATCACGAACAGAATAATTTTTTCTTGTATAAAGAAGAAGCTTAAGAAAAAAAATAGGGAAATGGTTGGATAAGCTCCCAAACGTCCTGTGGGCTTAGAAAACAACCCCGAAACGACCGACTAGAAAAAGCCCATTCACTATGGCATATGGCACTGAGGCAGTAATATCGGTTGAGCATTTAGTTTTGACTATTTGGAGCTTGGCATGGAATCAAGAGCAGAACGATAACATGTTGAGACTCAACCTTGACTTACTAGAAGAAAAGAGAGACGCAGCAGCAATAAGGCTTACAGCTTATCAGCAGACGCTCATGAATAGCCACAACAAAAAGGTGAGGCATAGAGATTTTGCACTTGGTGATTTAGCTCTGAAGAAGAAGGTGGGAATTGTCAAGAAGATGATGTCACCATGGGAAGGTCCATACAGAGTTGCGGAAGTCATAAGAAATGGGGCATACGTTCTGGAGACCATGGCTGGAAGGTTGGTCAATAAACCATGGAATACTACATCTCTAAAAAGGTACTACCAGTAGGAAGTTGAAATACATTTTAAGCAATGCACGCTTTAAGTTATGTACTCACAAATGTATGCATGGAATTTCCAAAATCTATAAAAGAAAATGCCATTTTGTTTCAAGAAAAAAGAGAAAACAAAAGCTGACTGAGCAAAGAATACTTAGCAAAGTAAGTGGCAAGTGGCACTCCGAGCCGAACGCCAAACACTTGCACAAAAATGAAAAGTGAAAGTGGTAAGTGGCATTCTAGCCGAGTGCCAAGCATTTAGCAAAGTAAGTGGCAAGTGGCACTCTGAGCCGAACGCCAAACACTTGCACAAAAATGAAAAAGTGAAAGTGGCATTCTAGCTGAGCGCCAAGCACTTAGCAAAGTAAGTGGCAAGTGGCACTCTGAGCCGAATGCCAAACACTTGCACAAAAATGAAAAGTGAAAGTGGCAAGTGGCATTCTAGCCGAGCGCCAAGCACTTAGCAAAGTAAGTGGCATGTGGCACTCTGAGCCGAACGCCAAACACTTGCACAAAAATGAAAAGTGAAATGGCAAGTGGCACTATGAGCCAAACGCCAGGCACTTAAGCTAAGTAAGTGGCACTACGAGCCGAATGCCAAAGACTTGCATTGGAAATGAAATTAATTGTTAGAATGTTATCATGGATGAGCACCAGATACATATCTAAAGAGAAGCAATAAGATGACATTAAGAGTTGGCTAAAAATCGTTTATCTCATTAAAATTTAAGTTTTGGATTATAAGAGTGGAGTATCCTATTGAAATTAATACATTGCAAAAAGTTGGCACATCTGCAAGCTCTTAGCTAGCCGTATCAGTTCCCTCAGTCTCTTGATCACGCTCGGCATTTACCTTACCATCATTAACTGTCCTATCTCCTCGGGTAGGAGAGTTGACCTGGATTATCACGTCATTCAGTTGTGTTCCACCCTCGGCAACAGGTGCAGGGAGAATCATGGTGGATAGAGGAGGAACATCCAGAGGCTGATCAGATGAGGGGATAGGGATGACCCCGAAGGAAGCAAT